GCGCCGCAACGCTGAATGCATATTATTTTCAGTTCGCACACATTTATTATTAGTACTAGCCTAAGCTCGCGGCTCCACTCGCATGGAGGTAGAGTATAGGTCATAAGTCTTGCATTGGTTTGAAGGACATTCGTTTCCGAGAAATAAATGCAATATTCAATTCAGTAGTTACTTTGGTAATGGATATTTTTTATTCAAAATTTTAATGCAGCAATGTATAAATGTGAGCGTCTCTCCAGTCTCTCAACTTCGATACGAAAATACTTGAAAAATTTTACACCTACTAATCAATACCCGAGGAAGGTTATAGTCATGGTTTTATTGGCGAAGTTAACGTGGAATTTGCTTATATTTATGAAATACCCGGACAGCTCGAAAACTTCACATCCACGCATTTTTTGGAAAAAAGGTTCTAAGAAAAGTTTTAGTAGTAATTTCTCGGAGACTCCAATTATGACTTCAAACGTTCTCTATGGGTATTGATATTCTATCACGAACTATGAACTTAAATATCTTAGCCCTGTTAGCCTTGTTATGCGTGCTTTCAAAAATTATGGAAAATTTATGGAAGATTGTATAGGGTGTCCAGTGAGACGGTTCACTTTTTGATTCTAGAAAAAAAAATACAAACGTAATGAACAGAAAATATTTATCTCTATCAACATATTCGTAAATTCAGCGGGTTATATTTCTTAAATATCATTCTGTCCAAATGTTTGCCATCCCTTCTGACACACTTTTCTAATCGTGCGGTCAAATTCTGAAACACTCTCTTGCAGAGTTCCTGAGTGATGTTGTTTATTTCTCGTCGAATGTTGTCTTTAAGCTCCTCCAGTGTTCGTGGATTACTGGAATACATTTTTGACTTCAGATAACCCCACAAAAAATAATGGCATGACGTGAGATCAGGTGACCTAGGAGGCCAGTTAATGTCTCCAAACTTCGATATAACTTTTTGAGGAAAAAGTACTTTCACCGTGTCCATCGATTCTCTGGAAGTACGGGCAGTGGTCTAATCCTGTTGAAACTATGTGTTTCGGTTAAATCGACGTTGTGTTCTTACAATAGGAGCAAAAAAGTGTCATCGTGTCCTCGTATGCTCAGAATTCACTGTCAATGCATGGCCGTTTTCATCTTCAAAAAAATACGGCTCAGTAATACCGCTACAGGATATGGCGCACCAAACAGTCACATTTGGGCTACGTAGGTGTTGTTGATGTTTCTCTTTTATGTTCATTGGTGCCCAATATCTGCAATTTTGCTTGTTGACATAACCGTTTAAGTGAAAATGGGCCTCGTCACTGAAAACAACGCTGTTGAGTCTGCGCTGCGTAGGAAAAAGATTCTACATCCGTTCAGCACAAGACTTCCGTAATACGTAATCACTTTCCTTCAAAGCATGGACTTATTGGATTTTATAAGGATGAAAACCCATTTTGTTCTTCATTATGCCATGCAGTGTTGACCTAGGGATTCCCAAAGCAGCGAAATGCTTCCGTACAGAACGCCGATATAAATTTCATCCAGATCCGTTCAGCCATTTTGGCATGATTGAGTAACAAGCATCCACACCTCAGTTATGATATTAGTAGTAGTAGTATTTTTGTAAACAATTTTTCAGGTTAAATTTGAAATCGATGAACTGGGAAATAGTGTACATATGCAATGGACATGGTGAATATGAACCAAAAGGAAGGTATAGACACGAAGTGGGCTTCGACGGACGGAACATCTACGTGTTAGGTGGCGGAACCGTCACCGAAGCCTTCGACTTCAAGTATATTCCTGCCTTCGATGTAGAGGACCTCATTTGGAGGAGACAAAAGACTGTGAAGGACTCTAATAAAGGTATGTAAAATCATTATAATATTTTTATTTTTTAATCCAAAAAGACAAGCTCTCCTTGTCCTATCAACTGTCTAGTATTAAAATTACCCTACTTGCATGATATCTGATGGTCCTTTCATTTTTTTTTTTGATCGAGGTTTCGTTGCGAAAGCTGAATACCTAATTATTTGAATGATATAAATAACTTAGTAATAAATCTGAAAAACTCTTTCCCAATCATTCTGAATGTCCTTGAAGATGAAAGCCTTCCGCTTCATGGCTCATCTTCAATTGACTCTTTCCCTTCTGAAAATGACAAATCACCGAAAAACCTGGACACTTGACAAAGCACTATCTGTGTAGGCCTGCTGAAGTTTAGTTTCTGCTGCACTATGCCCAAGTCTGAAGCAAAACCTGATAGCACACCGTTGCTCAACATTGATGTCACTCATTTTTAGAACATAACAGAAAAAACTGTGTCATAAAATAAAAATCGCTGCGCAATCAAATTACTCGATCGAGTTCAAACGTGTACCGAAGGCGGATCACATGTTCCCCTGTATCCCCTCCAAGCCCGTCGCTTCCACTGTTGCCAGATCGAACGCTACGTTGCCAGCCTCATTACTTAATTTGCAGACATTGTAGGAAATCTATAGACATATAGTGAATTTGAACTACACAGAGGGGTGGCGCTCTCGAAACAATGTAGCACCCTGCTTCCCGTCGAGTGTATGTATTGCTCAAGTAGCAAATTACTTTGCGCTCTTAATATACAAATAGCTAGTTACTGTCTCGAGGCATATACCGTCTAATTGAGTTACAAATAAAAGTAAACAGATTTAAAATCATCATGCTCCTTGCAGGTTACCCCCAGCCTCGTAGATGCCACGGAGCAGTGCAGGTGAACGTGGACGACAATGGCGGCGCGCCCCAGGTGTTCGTCATAGGTGGCCATGACGGCGTGAACATTTTCGACGACCTATGGCGACTGGACCTGCGCACTTTTCAGTGGACGTGCTTTGACACATGTCGACTGCCAAGGCCAATGTATTTCCACGCCACAGCCGTGTCGCCTCAGGGTAGGCTCTATGTCTTCGGAGGCAACTACAGGTGAGGGGCTTTTAATGTTTCATCCTTTAATACAGCGGATTCTAGAAGAGAAGATGTAGAAACCTTTTGTTAGAGTGACATTCACCAACATCACTTCATGGTCTCTTGATACTCAATGGTTATTTCCGGTTTCATAGTAGCTGGGAAGCGACAGCTCACTTGAGGGTCACTGACGCGATTTTTTCAGGTTAAGTAAGTTTCGTGTACTAGCAAAGAAGGTTTATAAATTGACTCTAGAATGCCGTCCCTGATACTGTTATTAATGTTTTTTGTATCTACTTTGATTCTCTCTCGTTCCACCTTTGACTATGTAATAAGACTAAAATAAACAGTATTAAAGCGTCTCAACAAAAGCGCCGGATTTGAATTAGCCGCCTTTTTTTTACAAATGCTATGGTGTTTACTTGATGACAACTGTCATGTTCAGACCACGCGATTAGACGTCATATTTAAACGAGCAACGTTTGATTATTGTGAAAATGGAGAAAACAACGGGGAAACAGTTCGCAAATTACGTACAATTTTTGCCAAATGAGTCGACGCTTCGCCGTTTAATCACATTATTCGAGACAGAATTCACGTTGCTGAATGTGAAGACCACTGTTCGTCGCCGTCCTGGTCGGTCCCTCGAAAATATAGTCGCAGCGCGGGAAAGTGCTGCCGAGAATCCAGGCACTTCCATTCGGCATCTTGGCCCAGAATAGAACCCTACCAGACCCACTCTGCAACGAATTTTGACAAAAGATCTGCGTTTACATGCGTACAAGGTTCAACTGACGCAAGAACTCAAGCCAACGGACCATGCTCAGTGCCGCAAATTCGTTGATTGGACGCTGGAACACCACCAAAGAGATGCGGATTCCTCTAAGAAAATCATTTTCTCTGATGAGGCACATTTCCAACTGAACGGGTACGTCAATAAGCAGGACTGCCGAATTTGGGGTTCTGAAAACGCCGCGAGTTACCGTTTGGTGCGCACTGTGGAGTTATTGGACCGTATTTCTTCGAAAATGCAGCTGGAACTACGGTAACTGTAATGATGTGCGGACTGTGTCATCTCTCGGTATAGCGATCAAAATTGGCCACCAAGATCGTGCGATCTAAAGCTTCTTCCTCTGAGGCTATGTGAAGAAAAACGTGTATGGGAACAAGCCACAAACAGTTGAACGCCTTAAAGAGATACGGTGCGTTAACGACGAAATAGAGCCACAGTTGTGAGAAAACGTTATCCAGAATTTTAGGAAACGACTGGCCCTGTGCCAGAGGTTTCGTGGTGGCCATTTACCGGATGTCCTATTTCATGTTTAAACGCACCTATTCCTCTTCATTTTGAAATATAAATACTCGCTTAATTCGATAAGAAATTGTATTTTTCTTGAAAATCAAATCCGGCGCTATTATTGAGGTATCCTATATAAACCATTTCCTTACAGCGTGAACGACGACATTCGGCGCACCAACGCGATTTACTCGACTTGGGTGTGCGTCCCCAAGTTAAGTGAGATGTGTTGGGAGGCGGTGCTCCACTACAACCCCAACCTCAACCGATGTCGTAGCGAAGAACTCATCAATAGTGGTCTACCCAGGCATTTCGTGCAACGACTGGGCGGATTTAATAATTTGAATGGCAGAGTGAAAACCGAATGAATGGACATATGTGGGTGTGTGTTGTGTTATTAAGGATAATAAATTGTATATGCGATAGCTAATTGTTTCATTTTGAAAAAACAATTTCCTGTTCCTTCACTTATTTTCATCTTGAAACGCACTGGACAAGGAAGATCAAACCGGAGTGTGTATATGTCGTAGAATTGACCATTTCATGGAATGCTCACGCATTTCAAATGAATGAGCAATGCGTGAGCATTCCATGAAATGGCCAACTAAATTTTACTGTTCAACGTTCAACGATTTGGTCATCCAAAAGTAATAAATCAGACTTTGAACAGTAAAAACGGTGTTTTCGTTACAGTACCGTTATTTACAATTTGTCAATGGGCCGCGACATTTCCTTCTGACCTTTAGGAAATGGATGAAACGGCAAGGCAAAATGATGCACATAGTAGACCATAAATATTTTTATTCTTACAATAGTATAAAAAAGGAGACAGTAGGATCAACATATTTATGAAAAATAATTGTAAAAATATATAAAGTCGTCCTCGATCCCAGTGATGGCTACATGTTTACCCATGTAAAGAAAAAATTAAAAGCGTTCGCAGTTTTCAGTTTGCTACATAGTTTTTATGAAACATGAATTAACATCTATTTCAAACTATTCAGAATGCCGGCATAAAAGATCCTACAAAAATATAATTGACAATTTTGACCATCGAAAGTCTTGAGACTATTCAACAGCAACGCCCAGATCCCATACCACTTGCAATACCTCAATAAACCAATACTTCAAATGTAGTTCATAGGCTTTGATATTTAGACAATTGACAACCTCTAAAATTATTTTTTTAATTATCGAAAATGGCTATTTTTAGGGTTTTTTATACTAAAAGTCGGTTATAACTCGAAAGAGGTCCAGAGAAAAGTTACCAAAAACCAATTTCTTCAGAAAAGAATAACAGCAATGCTCCAAAAGATTCTGACTGAATGGTTACACTCAAGTCAAGTTGCATCTAGTTGCTAAGAACTAGCACTGCATGAAGTACAGCTTAGCTCAGTGTCTGAATACTAGTCTAATAATACTAGCAAATTTCCCCGAAGTAATTGAAAAGTCTGGTTTTATTGGTGCAAGTTGTTCAAGGGGGTATTTAAAATATGGACGCATAAAATGGGTACACCAATTTTTGTGGAAAACATTTTATTCGTCAACAAAGAACGAGGAAACGTGTTTTTTGGGATTTAATCGAAAGCGTTGTCAGAAACCGAAAAATTCTTCAAATAAGGTATTTAGGTATTCATGAGACCAACAAAATGAGACCACACGTAAAAAGATCCGACAAATAGCAAAAATGTTATGGCCGAAAACCGAGCCAAAATGCAGGTTTTGGAACTTGTTGGTAATGCGACGATAATTTCACGCAACTACTTGAAATTCTTTGTAAGGTGTGGTCTCATACCTAAAAATCTTATATGAAGAGTTTTTTCGTTCCAGCCAACAGTTTCGATTGAATCCCAAAAAACACGTTTTCTCATTCTTTGTTGTCGAATAAAAAATTTTCCTACAAAAATTGGTGTACCCATTTTATGCGTCCATGTTTTGAATACATCCTACTTGCAGCAATAAAACCAGACTTTACAATTATTTCGCAAATCAGTGGTATTTTCCTCTAATATGATTAGACTATATCGCTCGCTATCGACACTTGGTAACGTGATACCGTACACAATAATGGAATGTAGAATGACAGATGAAATTTACTCTGGAATACTGTAATAATTATTTTTAGAACGGCTAGATTATTACAGAGTCATGTAGTGACAAACTAATGATATGTCAAACAATTTCGAACGCTAAAATTGTTACAAAGTACACTCTGTAGCAATTTACGAACGCAGCTCTCCTTAGCACAACCTCTTTGACATATGCCAATTCTTTCAATGAATATCAAGGTGTTCAAAATTTTCATAAGGGTCCATTCGAATATTATCTAGCAAGCTCGGCTAATCCATACTTCACTTAGTGCTAACTTACGAGGTTTTTCAAATGACATCAATGCCCAATTTCGCTTCTGCTAGGCAGAGCACTAGTGTGGCTGGAGGTCGCATCTAGATGGTTTTGAAGTTTATTAATGTAAACAACTAATCAGCAATTGACATTTTGTCTGTTTTTAACCGTCGATCTACTTATAGCTTTCCCTATTACCGCCCATTAAACACGACAATCTACCGATATGCAGCCCAAATTTGTTTGAACCACGGGTGTATTGCGGTTGCACAAGCATTATGAGACCTGGGTTTATTTGAATCTATATTTTGTTCTACGTTACCAGAACCCAAAATAATCTCACCGAGTGTTCCATCTAACAAGACAAATTTTCAAGAGCCAACAAGGTATCGTTTCCTGGCTCTGCGTAATGTAAATTTATTCTTACACCCTAAAAATCACAGATAAACTTGCGTCAACCACTCGACATACCGACAATCGACGACGACACATAAAACGGGGGGCTAGTTATTCTCGAAGTCGGGGGGCACTAGTGACACGTCTTGGCTGCTGGGGCTGGCCTGTTGAAGGATCTGGAAAGCGGAACCGAGACTCGGTCGCAACTTAAACGCTGTAGGCGGTGCTACGATCGACTCGATCGGCAATCCTTTTTCATCCAAGGATTTGGATTGTACCTTTTCGCAACCGTCTGGAGGTTCCCGGGCGAGGAATCGGTTGATTTGAGGAGAGGAGCCGAGTCTGTTCGTTTCTTGGTCGGGACTGGACGTCTCGCTCCCTTCTGCAAAAATGATACAGGCAAGTTATTCTTTATTTACAACAGGAGACACTGGTGACTAGTGGAATGTAAAAATTGCATGTATTTTTTACGTAATTAAATAGTTACTAAATGGTATCAAGCAGGGGCGGCTGGCCCTTAAGTTCTGCAGAGCTGCAGAACTGCCCAAACTTTTGTCTTGGCAGAAAAAAGCAGTAGTAATTTGATCATTATATATTTTCCATGTTATCACACAAATAGAAACAATACCGGCAATGCTGCCCCCGCAAGACACGGCATCGAGTCTGCTTTGTACTGAGAAAGCATTATAATCGACCAATTGTGCACTTGTCATTTTCGTCGCGACCGCAGCGTAACATTATGCATGGGCCACTTGAAAAGGGTCTCTGCACTACTTCGACACAAGCCGCACGCGCTTGCTTTTGTCTCTCTCTACAAAATTAAATGCGCGATTGAAGCATAAGCATGTGCTGCAAGTTATACAGATCCGTACAGATATAATGCGAAGTACGATATCTGATTCGTCGGTCGGTGCTCGGTCCTCGGCGGTATTGCCATTATGGTCTTGTCGCGTGACGTAGCTTAAAATTTGAATGCGAAAAATTTTTTATTAGGTATTTTGGGTCTTACGTTGAGTGACTAGTGACTCACTGACTGACTGTGGCTGTGTAGAAGGGTAGTGCAAGACGATGGATGTGGTTTACAGACTTATCAGAGTGAAACGATTCTGGAAATACACATTTGAAGAAAAAAATTGAGCTGAAGGTGTTAGGTCGACCGCTGCCGGACATATTTATAGAGACACAGGGCGCTAGTCGGGGCAAGGGCTATACGCGGCATTTCAGCAGGGAGATTTACACCAGAAATGACTGGATTTGTGGGTGCAACAGGAAGAATGCCCTTTTTTGCTTTCCTTGCATACTTGCATCTTCATAATTGGCTTTATTGGGGATTGTTAACATCAGAACTCAGTCAGATTCAGCATATTGGAGAAATATACAACAGCATAATGATACCGTTACAAAAAACAGGTACGTCCTATCAAAAATAATCGATTGTATAAAATTTTGCGGAGCATTTGAATTGGCGCTACGGGGTCACGATGAAACCGAGAGCTCCCAAAACCCGGGAATATTTCGTGGACTGATTAATTTTTCTGCTGAGTACAGGCAAAAATTAAACAAAGATATCCATTTGTTCACTATGTGCATTGCTATGCGCATCAGTTAAACCTGATTATGTCCCAAGCTGCTTCCGCAAATGCTCAAGTTCGGGTGTTCTTTGGGGATTTGAAAGATATTCCAGGATTTTTTAATAATTCTCATCAATGCGTAGAAGTACTGAATAGAATTGTGGGGAAAGAAATTCCCCAATGAGCAACAACTCGTTGAGACAGACAGACAGACAGACAGAGTTGTCTGTTATTCATGCACGGATGATTGGCGAGATTTACATGGAACTCAGTCTCTTTTGAAATTTTTGCTACAAGATAGTTTGGAGGAAATACTAAAAGAAATAAAAAAGCTATTAGAAATTATCGTTACAACTCCTATGTCAACATCAGAGGCTGAGTGAAATTTCTCAACATTGAAAAGAATCAAGACCTTTCTTCGAAATACTATGATCCAGGATCGCCTGACAGCGTTGTCGATGCTGTCCATTGAAAAGGAATTTATTTCGACCATGGAAAATTTCAACGGGAAGGTGATCGACAAATTTGCTGCCAAGAAGGAGCGCAGGATCGAACTGACATATAAAAAATAGGTAAGTTCGGATTTGCAGAACACCTGTTTTATTTTGCCACGAGCCGCCACTGGTATCAAGAATCACTTCCCACGCAACGCTGTTATCAGTTCATAGAGAATTATGTTCGTCACAACTTAGCCATTCTGAGAAATAGTTACAAGCATATATAACGAAAAATTAAATAACCCTCCCCCTCCCTCTGAGAGACATTCCTGCGGGTGCACATGATAGTTGCTATGACTAATACCACGAAGATGGCGATATTGACTTTTGCAGCATACAGTCCAAAAATGCAAGGAAGCGACTGCGACAATTTTTGTTTGGCCTTTTTCTCCGTCGCCAATAGGCCGATTTTCAAAAACTATAACGCGTTTTCGTCCTTGACATAGTAGTAACCTACATAGTGTAAACTTTTCAACTTATAGACGGGCCATTAATTAGCGGGCAGACAGATAAACCTAAGGACATGAGTGACATGGTTTTTCGTGATGTGCATGTCATACAACATTAAAAAACATAACATCTCATTTTCGAAATTTTTTAATAATTACATCAGGTGGAAGTTCGTGCCCTGCTTATTAAAATCCACATTCAAAAGTTCAAAATTTTTCAAAACAATAATAAATACATACAGAACGTCTCAAGTTTTTTTAATGTAGAATGTAGTGTCAGATAACATATCTTCGAGTCTAATAGTCTGCCATGGTACAGGTAGTATAAGAAAAGTTCTGTCACGAAAAACTTAAAATTTCAGGAGTTTGAAATAGATTGGGGATTTTTTTGTTTTCTCAATTATTCACACAACTGGCCTATTGTGCGACCATGGCACTCATCATTTCCGTCTGTCTGTCTGGGTCTAGCCTCTGCTCCTTGACCCCGCGATAACTTACCGGTCGGATTTTGACAAAACTGTTACATAGGGTTACTATGTTAGGGACGAAAAAAACTTTGTAGTTTTTGAAAATTGGTCTAGTGGCAGCGAGATTTTTCTCTGACCTTGTTCAAGCAAGTTCCAGAACATACTTTACTTGAACTCAAAAGTCATAAAAGTTCAAACCCTTTGGCACGTGCGCATACAAGTCAAACATGCGCACAAGAAAAGTCAATCTTGTAAAGATAGGAAAAGGCAACGGTCATCTTCAAATCCTCGTCAAAAGAATCCTAGTTAAACCGGGTACAATATACCAATCCTACATTGTCTTTTTATGGCTCGGGTGTCGATTATCCTATTACCTTAATTATATCTGAACGCGCTTACAGTCCCGCGGCTCTCCACAATAACAGACCTTTTGGCCAAAAACGAAAAAAAATAAACATCGCTCAAACTTCATTTTCTGAAGTTTCAGAGGATTCTGATCATTTTCAGCACAATTTTCGTAGAGGTTAAAACATGGGGGTTGGGCGTTCCAGGGGGTGGAGAATGGTATATCTCAATTACTTGACGTTGGAGTACATATACGCCCCCAACTCCAGTAATTCTACGTACCTATTAGGCATATTTCACTCATCAAAGATGTCCCCATACCCGATAAACTTATATTTCTAGGTAACAGTTGCGTGTCGAAACGTGTGACGTCTAGTCGTTTGTTATTTGAGCAGTCCGCAGGACCTTGGCTCTTGTCTGGCAGAATGAATGTGCGACGTGGTCCCCCGATGGACTAGCGTCTTACGTCACGCGGAATTGGTCAATGCAACGATCATATGCGCCTGCAGGAATTTTTTCACAGTTGATAACACTTCCATGCTCAACACATTGACAGATATATGGTGTCAAACTTCCACTGTGAGCAATGGATCGTTTTAATCTTGAACAAAGGTGGGAAATATTAGAAAACTATTTTCAAAGTGAGTGCTGTGTTGCAGAAACTTGGCGAAAATTGAGAAGACTATTTGGTCGGAATGAAGCTCCATCCGCGACTGGTATACGAAAACTCATGAAGAAGGTTCGTGTAACTGGCCTGCTCTAGGATAACAGAAGGTATGAGGGTACGTACAGTCGAAAATATAGCTGCTGTTGCCCAGAGTGTGCGTGAAAACGCAAGAATGTCAACTCGTCACAGAGCACAAGTAGGCATCAGTCGCACTTGCGGAGAATATTGCATAACTACCTGGGATTATTTCCTTACAAGGTGAAACTTGACGTTATAGAAAGACCAATGCATCCAAAAAGAGTAACTGTTTGGTGTGGCTTTTGGAGTGGTGGAATTATTGGTCCCTACATGTTCCAAGATGAAGATGGTTACAGCGTGACGGTAAACAGGGAACACTATAGAGACATGTTGAGGAGTTCTTTGTGGCCACTATTAGACGACATGCACTTGCACCATCTTTGGTTCCAGCAACATGCCACACCAGTCGTGAAACAATCGATCTTTTAGACACAAGTTCGGTCATCGCGTTATCAGTCGTTTTGGAGACGTTCATTGGCCCGCCCGCGGCTATGGTTTGACGCCCATGGAATACTTCCCATGGGGTACTGTTAAGGAACGCTGTTACATTAACGATCCTCAAACAATGGATGTTCTTAAGGAAAATATCCGTCGAGCTATTGATGAAATAGACCCACAAACTATTGAAAATGTGCTCCAAAATTGGGTTAAAATTATTTTTCATAAATAATAATCGGAAGGTGTATTCTTTTGAATGAAGTATCGAGTTTTACATATTATTGAAGAGTGTAGTTTTAATACCAATTTAAAAAAGAAGCCAACGGATGGGCCACCCATTAAGTGTTATTATGCTTTTGTTTACTGACCAATGATATTAACATCATTTAATCATCTTTTGAGAAATTTTCAGTCATTTAATGAAGTTCTCTTTCTCCATGCTAGAAAACAGTTTTTGATAAACTCTAGCAACGGACATGGTCGTTTTTTTTTTCTCCGCAGCTTTTATTTTTGGGTCGTAGATTATAGGAGGAATGCAAAAAGGTGGCAAATACGATATTCAACAGATATTTACAAGCTTAAGTAATTGTGTTTTTATCGTAGTTCTTGACCCATGTAAGGTTGATTAGACATTGCATTTGCCACTTTTTTTATCACCATTTCTATAATCCCGTTTATACTAACCATTTGTTCGAGCAATGTTCGAAAAACCTTACCTTGCTTGACGAAAGTTTTATTCAAATTTAGACTATTTCATAAATTTTCATGAAAAAAAGACATGCTGTCATGTATGACGGATATAACACAAGACACAGACGCCGAGCGCACCAAATGCACAGAACACGATATCTAAGAACCGCAGATGCACGGTTGGTTCCAAAACACCCTGTATATACGACACGTGGCGTAGCAAAACAACTAAACAAAAAACTTGTTCAAAGAATGCATGCAAAATTCTAAAACTCACCCGACGACCCGCTACCTTGCCGCTCATCAGCCCCCGGCGTTTGCGTGTCCACCGACCGCCAACCTTCGCCATGAAACATCTCCGCCAGCGGAGCCCTTCTGCCCTCCGAGCATCGTCCGCTGCTGTGCCCTCCACCGCTAGGAGGCCTCACTAGGGTGCTGCCCGATTCGTCGCGCAGTACAATTCGCTCGATCTCCTGGTTCAGACCCTCCACGCTGCTGCGGATCGAGGAGCGCGGGAGGGGTTTCAAGGTCACTGGGAGCGACTTCGATACTGGCGATAGAACATACCCTGAAACAGAACCGTCAAGTTCATTCATCTATGTTGAGATCTGTACTGGATCAATTTTCTTCAAAAAAATCCTAGCCTGAAATGCATGAACAAATAGTCTGATGGCCATTTGCGCCTTTTTCCAATTGCAACCAAGTATATTTTTAGGGATTCCTACTTTTGTACTGTCATATCATCGTGACAGAACTCCTAATATTTGACCGGTGTGAAATATTCATTGATCGTAAATTTGTTTTTTATTATGAGTTCAGTCCAAAAAAAGAGTCCTCAATTTTTCCCTGCAAGAAAAATCTTTATTCTGAACATTATATCCGAACATAAACATATAATCAAAAAGCAAATAAACGGATGCCCTTAATTGGAGAGAAAAAAACCAGACCTGGGAAACGATTACTAATTTCTTCAATTTACGATCATCAGAAAATTATCCTAGGACCAAGGGGGTGTTTAAGGAAATGTTACAACATTAAAACATTACTAGGAAACAAGTCGCTGGTGAAAAATTATCAGTGTCAATTCCACATATAATGAGGTTAATTTCTTCTAAAAGTTCCATGATATTGCCTCACAAACCTCTTCACAACCTTCAGAACTTGATTGAAAATCAAAACAAATCTATTCGCCGGTATTTTCAGGTTATAGGCAACTTGAGCAAAACAAATCTTCAGTTTATATATTTGACATTTGAGCTTCACTTGCAAGTTACAAATAATATCAGTGCAACAGAACTTTTGGATGAGGTCACCTTAGATTAAGCTTCAGTTAAGCAAGGCGGTACCAATAGCCATGAAAGCCCATCACACAAAACCTTAGAGGATCTGTTAGATGACCCAACTCCCACCAAGAAAAATGACGCGGTTGGCGGGTTGGACTCCCAGGGGTCAGCTGGTGGGTCAATATGGGCCCTCCAAAAGACGATCCCGTCGCTCAAATGTTAGAAGCACTTTTTTTGGGGGGAGGGGAGGCTACCAATGTCAAAGCATGGTTGGCTGACTTACCCCCCCCCTTTTGCCTACCATGTTTCAGTCTCCCAGATGGGAAATCATCCCCACATGTTAAAAGGAAAAAAAATGATTATCACTTACGCCACTATACCTGGGAGTGGAAAATCTTCCATTTAACAGATCTTCTAGGGTTTAGTGTCATGGGCTCTTTGTTCTCGCCGCGTATCTCGCCACGATGCTTACCATAGTTAATAAGATCGCCACTCGACTCAGTTAAAAGTTGTCTGTTTCACTGACAAGGAATATAATATATCCACATCAGTTCAACAAAATTCTACTATGAAAGACATAATGGTTCCATGGTGATGCTCTAGAGTGGTGAACTGGCCTCTTCCAGTATGTTTGTGCCCTAAAGCTCTGTAGAAATCCACTGACACAGCGCATGTGTCAATACACATTGATTATATTGAACGATTGAATGTTTAAAAATAAATAATGTCCATGATACCACAAGATAATTTAATGAAATTTGGTACACAGATACTATGCTTTAAAAGGCACTTTCTGAATTACAACAATTTCTATTTTTCCAGTGGCGTTCAGGAGGGATTTGCACCTAATTGTTTTAAAGAAAAATATGGTATGGTATGGTTTTCTCATAACACAACTTATTTTATAATTCGATTCCGACTCATGGTTTTCGCGTAAAAAATAAGAAAAATTAATGTTCCTATTATGATGTCTTTCGCCTTATAACAATTTCCGTATTAAAGCCATGAGAAATGTTTTTTATTTTTTACTCAAAAAAAATGGTGGGAAGATGAACTTTGCTCAAAAGTGAATGAGGATTACAAAAAAAATGTATTTAACACTATCTCAAAATCTAAGAACAAATATTTCATATTTTACCTTACCATGAAGTATATGTTTGTGTGAGCTTTAAGAATGGTGGACAGTTTGATACTTACATGGGTATGTTTGTGAACTGGAACTAAGTGTATTTTCACTGGGAGAACTCCTCCGTGCACTATCTTTGGTACCCTTAATTGTCTGCCTCGAGTCTAGTTTATCTACAGTATCTTCTAGTTCTGATATACTGTGTATCTTCCTTAAATCTACCCAATCTGCATCATCAGTCTAAAAATTTTAATACCTTTTGGAGATAAACTTTTCAATATCATTTAGTTGTTTAAAAAAAAAACATATACATAAGATGTCAGATACCACATCTAGTGATTTTCAATTATTTGACTATGAAGTATGAGGTCTTTTAATCTGAATAACATAGTCTATCCAGTTCAGTCAGTCATATATTTATTACTCCATTAATACCAAAATTACCTGTGTAGCTTTGTCTATTTGCAACATGCCAATGTTCCAATAAAAAATATCTCGTGGCCATTGTCCTTTTAAATAAATTGTATCTAATGATGCAGTCCGTCTGATCACTTTACATTCCCCACCATTACTATCATAAGGTTTCTGTTTACCTGCAGAAAACATTTGTATAAGGGGGGTAATCTGGAAAGTTTGATGTAGATGCCACTAGTTAGGTTTTACCTTTAACCTAACTAGTAGCTGTTCAGCTGTTCACAGCAAAGGACATGAAAATGAGATAAGGGTTATTGAATGTGTCTTTTTTCCATCGCAAAATCGGATATTGTTGCCATTAAAACAAAGTACTCTATGATACTTAAAAAGCTTCTTCTGAGGCTAAAACTTTGTCTTATACAACTTATTTTTTTATTCTATATTGAAGCTTAATCAGCCAAGATTACCACACTTAAGCTTCATAAGAAAGTCAAAAGGTCTAGGCTAGGCTACAATGAGGTTTCAGTTTAAACAGTTAAGTGACTACTCCATAGACTAATGAAGAAACATGGAGTACTGAAAACACACTAGCTTATTGAGAAGACAAAGAGAGTCTACATTTACTAGTTACCAGTTTTTTTGGTAAACATTTTAGGAATTTGTGGAAACAGCACATGTGCTGGGACTTCACAGATTGCATCTGTAGTTCATTGATTCACACATTTGTATCTTGTGAGTAAATACCATGCTGAACACTGTAATATTTGGCAAAACTGGATACTTGGTAGAATATGCCAAGTGTCAGGTACAAGCCAAGTACCAGTGCATCCCTAATGCTTGTTGTGGCTGTAATTGACCAAATAAAGAGGGGCTTTAGACCCAGAATTCTGGTCTTAACAGCCCATTATTTATTCAATAGAAATTTTACCCTTGAATTGTCAATGACATTTCACCCAGGCAACAGTTAAATTGCTGCTCGTGGAGATACTCACAAGTGCTAATATCAATATAATAGGTACTGTTCTCATGTGAGTTTGCAACTCTTCAGAGTATTGCCTACCTGTTATCCATGCAGATCCTAAGTCCCAAATCATTTATTCTCCTCAAAATTCACAATTGGAGGACTTATTATCTTATTAGACCATAAAACTCATCAAAAATAATGGGTATTGCATTTTGGAGTGCTAAATGACAAAGCCCAGTACTGAACTTATTTAATTTATGTTGAACATATGTGACCTACTATTAGTTAAGGAAAAATGATAGATCACTAAGATAATCACATGTTCAGATCACTTCCTTTACTGTAATGATATCACAAAAAGCATGGAAAATACGATTATACTATGGTCATTGTAGATACTTTCTTAAAACTGGGATCTATTTTGATTTCCTCAAGCAAGAGTTGAGGCAAATAGTGATGTGTATCTCCCTTTACATAATATTAAAACTCAGCGAAAACCACAAATAAATGAAATAATTTAATAAAATGAAACTGCATTTAGAAGAAAACTTCTTTGTTCCTCAGTATTCTGACCAACAGAACGGTTTCGTTTAATGAAGCATATTGAATACTAGAGCAGTAGAAAAGGACCTTTAAAATCTGATGACCCAGGGCTTCTCTGTCCAGAAGGTTCATCACCAAAAGCTCTGTTTTTCCACGAGATCGTCGGAGAGACTGCAGTACTCCTACTAGACTTGATACTATTGTTCTGTTTGACGACAGAAGACATTGGGAGCGTTGCTTTAAGCGGCCTTGGCTTAGCCGACGTCGGGGACCCTTTGGCCAGTTTGGATGGAGTACCCTGCGACATTCTCACAATAATAGACTGCTCCCTTGTTCACTAATCACATTTCCATGGCTATCCTGCGATCCCGGCACTATTTGAACGTTTTCGAGTTGAATTTTACAGCCGCGTGGCATTTCCAGTAACTTTCATCGCGGATCGCGCGAAAGTGTACGCTTCAAAAGAGAAAAATGCGAAAATCAACTCAAAAAGCTGAAAATGTAATGTTTATTGACATTAAATAATCCTGACAGAACAGCATTGACACTTGCATTGACAGACGTTTGGCGAAGGAGCGGGAAATGTATACAACTACGTCAGCACATATGTGTAAGATGCGCTGTATAACCTAAGTAATTTCAGATTTATGGAGATTTTATTGTGTTTTTTTACGAGATTATGTAGAATATATAGAAACTATTAAATTTCTGCGGTTATGCACAGATAACAAAGCATGGCACACTAAATTTACCCTATAAGGGACGCCGTTGGTAATTTATATGTTCATGTTAGAATAAAATGATACATTTTGTTCATTGTCTTGGATTTTTAGAAAATATTCAATAGGATCCTATAGAATAATAAGCTTTCGGTTTGCTCAGCAATCCGTAAGTAACTGATAAAAATAATTATCTGATATCTAACTTATTCATGTCTCCACTTATACAAAGCATAGGCGTAGGTGACGACCTTGCAGTTGGACGTTTGAAGAGTTTCACACTTCCAATGTCAGAAGGATTCAAGAAAATAACCACAATCTACCTGACTCAAATGTATTTGGACAGCGGTTCAATTGCAGACAGAAACAGATGAAAGAAAGAAACGCTTGAACAATATTTCACGAGTATCCATCACGTTTTGACGTTTACTGAGTTGAACAGTTGAACAGCAAGTGACATCTTTGTAATGGTCTGTATAACGTTGGTCATAATGAATCGGGTGCAGATTTAGTAAAAACTGGGCTTCGTTCGTAAATTGTTTGACGTACATGTTCCATGCGTTCGGAATTAGAACAAAGAACAAAGTAATCTTTCTGGAACGTCAAGAGTGCACTGCACTTCTCGAGTTCAAAACCTTGGGAATAAGAGTGTTGTCACCTGTCATTTTCATGGTTCATTGTTTGTTTACTTTATTAATTTGGTTATCAAAAAGTGCTCAACATTGGCAGAATATATATTTTTCACGATGAGTGAGCTGCCACGCATCCATAGCGTTTCTTGTAATAAATAAAATGGCCCCAGAAAACGTGGTTGGAAATTAGGCGGCTGTCATTGAGTGTCATTATATGACTATAACAATTTTGGCGTTCTAAAAATAAAATTACACAGTATTCCAGAGTAAAATTTCACCTGTCAATCTACATTTCATTACTGTGTCCGGTATTAGATTACCAAGTGATTTACAAACGCACCCCTGCTTGTAGCGTTTTTTTAACAAATGAACTTTTCTAAATGAAAGAGATGTTAGCAAGAACAAAATGAATCTGTATCGTACAGAGAACCACAACAAAAATAGGTTCTGCTTACATGGCGTTGACGAATCCGTCAGAATTATGTCATTTGTCGATATGGGGAATTTTGAAATAATACTAGATAATCAGCTGTTATCCCACCGTAATGGATACTCGTGAAAAAGAGTTCACTTAACTTGTATCATATGCATCGGATGGGTGTAGCATACTTATTGCATAATAATTATTCAAATGTCATTCACCCCCCAAAAAAATAAACACCAGCGTGCGACGATCAAATTCGTGCGCTTCTATTGGCCAGCAGGCAAAAAATTCATGGGAAAGGCTGTGACAAGCTTATAAAAGTGTCGGAGTAAATCCGCTGCTACATGCATGCACCGACACGTGTTAAAGATTGTGAATGGATCCATTCTCAGCAAAACACTATGTTCCTCGGTTCTTGGTTCATCACAAAGTTAATTTCGCCATACTGGCGAGGAAGGATTGTAATCACGAAAAAAATTCGAAAACGAGATATTATTTTTTGTTAGTGTTATATGACATGTACATCACGAAAAATCATAACACTCACTTCCGTGGGTCTGCCTGTCGGTCCCTCCACTAAGCCTTCGACAGTGTAACTTAGAAAGTACAGTTCGGATTTGGATGAAATTTTCAGACAAGGTTACTACTATTCCAAGGACGAAAAAGCTTTTTGAAAATCGGTTCAGTGGCGGCGCAGAAAAAGGCCAAAAACCAAACAAGTAAGAATCGGTCAAACTTCGTTTTTTGACGCTTCAGAGGATCGTGGAAAAATTTGGGGGTGGGGAGGATATATCTCAATTTTTTTATGTACATTCATACGCTCCCAATCTTGGTAATTCTACAAGCCTATTAGACACATTTTACACATCATAGCTTTCCCGGTACGGGTATCACGTATCTTGAAAAGTGACATTATGCCGATTTTTTTTTTGACATTATGCTGGTTTTTTTGGCATTATGTAGGTTTTTCTACAAGATGTTATCTTAGCACTTAGTTGTACGTGTTGCCTAAACGTCATGAGGCTTGTTATCAATCTTTGGCTCTGTAAGTTGTATGTGCTGATCATAATTACATTGGGTTCTTGTTTCAAATACACTTAATTGAGATTCAAAGCTAGAAACTAGTTTTTTCTTATCCATTCTGGAAATTACATATACAAATTTGCTGAATTTCAAAAGTGAGAGAGATAAGAAATAATTATATTCACTGTACACTGTTGAATTACAAGTCACATACATACTCACAACGCGGGCGTGGTGATGATTTCCCGTAATTCTCCTCAGTTTTTCGTAATTTGTAACTTTGAACATAACCTCTCTTCAGAAAGCGCAACATAAAAATAACCCGTCGGGCACAGCTAATAGATATACTTCATTGGCAGCATACTCAGTAATGATTTTCTCACACAGCAAATACCACTGATTTTATACACCTGCAGACCAATACACATACCTAATCATCCAGATGTTATACACATGCAGACCAATACACATAATCATCCAGATGCGATCTTGCTATTCAACCAACTTTCTTCTCAGAGATAACTACAGACAAGGACCACTCGGTCTCACAAAACATATGCAACCAATAATGCGTGCAGTTTAGTGTTTAGTGATTACTCCATAGATGGACGTTCACAACGATCCTAGTGAGCAAACGTGGAATGATTGCGCCCTAAAAACTACCTAGTTTGCAAGATGACATCTTACAGGTTTTTTTGACGTTTTATAGGTTATTTGCCCTTAAAACAAACAGTATTTTTATTTTCAGCAGACGTATCGCGAACCTATCGTCCGCGTCTGGCGTGTCGTTTGGTAAGTGTTCTGGTATTAGTCACAAAATACAATACCCGGACCGGGTTCGGTATTGGGGAGAGGCGATGTTACCAGATGCACTACCGCGGTGGGGCAGCGAAAGAATGTCTGTGGACTAAGTGTACGGGCCTCTTTGGCTGACTTTTCTTAGAGGGTCCAGCTTGTGCTAAAGATAATCCTTTATACACTGATGGCGGCATTGTATGGAAAGTACAGAGTCAACCTACTTGACGCCATTTTTTTCAAGACGAAACTGCTGGACGACGCGACGGCGAGATTTCCGCAATTTTTCTTCCCAGAATCACTATATCACTAATAGGACCATGCTCAATTTCTATCAGCTATTTTACTACCTTATTTCAAGAATGCAATGTAAGATGCTACTGTGTACTCAAATCTCATTTACTTTGCCTCAAAACAAACATTGACGCGCGACGCTTAAATTCGAGCGCTACCGGTGGAAAACGATTCATAAATGCCCGAGCGACAAGCGAATAGAAGCGATGTTCAAGTGCGTAAGGTAAATGAGGTTTGAACAGACTATAGTATTATACGGTATATGTAACAAAGGAAAAAACTTCAATTCTATATAGGTGCCTTTATAAAACAAAAGTCAAATGGTTTTTTAAAAAACTTTATTGGAAAAGTTCACATCACATATACAAAATACGAGTATTTAAAACTAATAGGTTGTAGTGGCAGGACGGTTGTAGTATGTTGGGTGGGAGGCAACACCTGAAAGGATTATAAGTATTAGAGAAATGTTCTGTGGCCCAATGACTTGTTTAAAAAACTAGCTATTTCCTTTTTCAGCGTTAAGTTCCAGTTCAGATCTATTGTTTTCGACATAATTTTGCTGTCATTGCAGCAAAAATTACACGAAACGGTAAAGTGTATTGCTACTAGCAAGCGTAGATGTACCTTTACTTAATGCAAACTTACACTTCACCATTTCAACAGGTATTCTTTTATTCAGATGACAGTGAAGTCAAAATTCTGCTAAAAACGTCTTACAACTGGAGTAAAACGTATTTGCGACAGGCTGGCGCGAGGAAAAATGTTTCTGCCATTTAAGCAGATTCCTCAACTATGCACGTTGTAGAGAAATAACATGAAATATAATTATATACAAGGTGTCCTCAAAGTTGGGGTTTAAAATGTCTTAAAAAACCGAGATATTGGACTCCGAAGTCTCAATCAAACCTGAACCAAACCGAAGCCGGTCCTGTCCTATCCCCCGATCACGACCACAGCGCCAACGCCAGCGTACAGTTATACGACGTACGACTACGATGTAGATACAGATTTTACTACAGAGCTGCACTTGAAATTTCAATTCAACTGAACAGTGAGTACGTTTTCATTTATTTTTTTACTTGTTCGATCACGTTTCACTACACATTAGCTTTGTTATATCAAGCGTAGTTGTGTCTGAAAAGGCAAAGCCCAACTTTGCGGACATTCTGTATATTCTTGGAAAATAGCCAACGCGTTTAAAATGTGTTAAGTAATCAGGTTTTGGTATCACTTATCACCTTCTATCTAGATGACAACTGTAGATTTTGATTTTTATCAAACACCAATTGGCGTTATAGAAACTTAAAAATCAGGTAAACATATTACTCCATCGCGTTTATGTGTTCGTTGCGATTGAGTTGAAAACTTTCCACGATAGTCCGGGCAATATATCTTTGCCTCATCATAGAAAACATATTCTGGCCCCCTTTTAACGAATCTACATGTTGCCAGGGTCAAACAATTTAATTAAAAAATTCAAAAAAAAATGTTTTTGCTCTGATCAAAGTGCTTTTGGGTTTTTCGTGACATTCTGAACAAGAAACTGCTTTTCTTTGACAGTTGTTGTCATTTTCGATACCGAAAACTGTTATGAAAAAATGAAGATTTTAATGTTGCTAGTGTTCCTAAACATTCTTCAAATATCCATTAGCAAAATCCCAAAGCGTTTCAGGACGTATTTTCATTGTAAGTGTTTGTTTTGGACTTGCTAATCAGGGTATGTTCTGCTTGAGTGTAAATGGATCTTTGAAACATATTTACAACCATTGGTAACAATTTTTTTTCAAAAATGGAACATTACGCACTTTCTTAAATATTTGTATCGTTCATATCTGGTAAACTGTCAAGCTTAGGGAAACCTTCTAGAGCACCTTTTTTGTTCAGAATGCCCCACAAACACTTTGATCAGAGCGAAAAAAAATAATTTTCGGGAATTTGTTCCAAGATTTATTTAAAATATTTTTGAGGCAAAATTAGTCGTAGCAACAAGCAAATTCGTTAAAAGGTAAATTCGATTATGCAAAAAATCGAACGCTGCATTGCCAGCCTCAACACTTAATTTTATCATCTCGTAAGATGTGCATAACTATAAATTATTTTTGACCACCACACTCCTGAAGAAGGGAACAAATTTTTCCGGAACATTGGCAACTTTATAACAGAAAACTGTGTTCCTTTAGGCCCAAATCCAATTAATTATAATAAATTATCCACAATCTCAAAACGAGACTGATAGTTTCCTAGCAGTTGATTCAGTTGGAACGCCAAAGCAACCACCAAGCAACGCAACTCAAGTTGAAGTCGAGTTGCCGTCAAAATACTATAACATGTTGTTATTTTATATAAACACCGTGTAAAATATTATGCAACAATATAGAATAAAGAATTACACATTTATGCAGGGTGTAAACGTCATGGTAGTCATAATTGAAAAGGGTAATAAGGGGGTCAAAACAAGTCAAAAAGTTCATATGACTCATGGCCCAAAAGTCAATATTTTTGTCTAAATGGCTTTATAGTTTACAACTTTAAGTGCTTTATCACCACAATCTTACTAATTTTTATAATCTAATCTAAACGTTTTTAAATTGGGTAGTTAACAAATAAATGGCATTAAGTTTTTCTCAGTTAAGCCAACATTTGTAGTCAGTAAGTAAGTTTCATCAAATTGAATATTTAAAACGCACATGACAACAGCGCTTCGGTCATAATCACTCTTATCGAACCGGCAATCGATCGCAAACGGTAACAGTGGATAGTATGTTGTTTTGTTTTTGTTCGCGTACGTCGTCGCGTTGATTTACAATGTTCTCGAATAAAGAGTTCGAAGACATGTTGCTAATTTACGGTGAAGCTCGTCAGAATTCAAATCTTGCAGCTCAAATTTATCGCGACAGATTTCGCCAACGGGTACACCCAGGCTGAAGGACATTTGTGCAAGTGTACCAAAGACTTCGAGATACAGGAAGTGTTCAGCCCACTAATATTCGCACTCGTGAAAGACAGGTTACTGTAGAGCAGGAGGGACAAATTTTAAATATCGTGTAAATCAATGCAGATATCAGCACTCGGGAATTAGGCCGCCGCGTAGGACTATCGCATACCATAGTCCATAGAATCCTACGGAAAAAATTTGCTTTATCCCTACCATGTACATCGAGTTCAGGCCTTGTTACCAGAATATTATCCTCGCAGACTAACATTCTGTCAGTGGTTTTTGCACGAAAATATTGAAAATCCGGATTTTTTTAAAAACATTCTAGCGACGGACGAATGTACTTTTACGCGAGACGGGATATTAAATTTCCATAATACTCACACGTGTGCCCAAGAAAATCGTCATACCATTCGTGAAGGTCATTTACAACAACGTTTTAAAATAAATATTTGGGCGGGTATTCTTGACGATCAGGTAATTCGAGTTACCCCCAAAGTTGTCAGGAGAAGGATACCTTAGCTTTCTAGCCAATAACCTACCAGAACTTTTGGAACAGACCTTAGACAACATGGCATTACAACGGAGACAGAATTTGTGGTTTCTTCATGACGGGGCACCACCACACATTTTTAGAGGCGTCATTCAGTATATTTGAATGAACATTATCCAATCGCTGGATCGGTCGAAACGCTCCTGATCCTCGACGATCTCCTGACCTCAATCCGATGGATTTCTGATATTGGGGAGAACTTAAAGGGATGGCTTATGGGGCTGGTCCAATAACAACTGAAGCACAACTTCGCGAAAAAAATGTTTAATGCGGCTGAAATAATAAATGGACAACTTCGATGACCTAGAGTAAGAAGAAACTGAGCTCGTCGTAAACGAAGCTTGTGTGGAAAGTGGAGGATGACATTTTGAGCACCTTCTTTAAATACAAAAAAGAGCAGTGTGGGTCTTGAAAAGAAAAACAATGTATGCATCAAAATTGTGTTCCCTATTTATAAGTGGATTTTTTTAATACGTTCAATGAACTTTCACACACCAGGTGAAGCGCTGAGACAGTTAGTCCGTTTTTTTATTGTTTGCATTTTACGAGTACATTATCAAATAATGAAATAATATCTAAGAGCCAAAAATAACAAACTCCATCTTTATTTACACTGCGTTCCGTCGTAATTTGCGTCTGGCATTGCGGCGTTGTCAGATTTTATTTTACTTTAAAGTCGCTTTTCTCTAAAAAAATGCGGTTTTGACCCCCATGTTATATGTAACTTTTTGCTTCTTTTAACTCCCTCTATCACCCATTTAAATAATGACTATCATAACGTTTACACCCTCCGTTTTATATGGTTTTCTCTTACCCTCATATCCCGTCCTCTGGTAGTCCTGTGAGTAAGGTCCGTAGTGGTATGGTGCCTGGTATGGAACCCTTCCGACAGGATACATTCCTGGGTATCCATAGGTAGGTGCAGGCTGTACCCCTGAATATCCATAAGTTGGGTGCGCACCAGAGTATCCGGAAGCTGGATGAACACCTGAATATGCTGACTGGACACCAGAGTATCCGTAAGTGGGCCTTTCGTACCCGTAGACAGGTCTGTCGTATCCATATACAGGTCTGTTGTAGGCCTGGTCATATCCAGGCTGCTTGTACCCAAACATGGGGGTTTCGTAGGGGTTCTTGGAGGCGATTTTGTCGTTGACTAGGCTCATCTTGTAGTTGATCCAATCCCTGGAAAGTCAAATAATCTTAATCAAAAATCGATATAAAAAACGGGAATTTGTTCAAAAACGATGCTGCAAGTAGGTACACGCATTATCTTTGTTAGAACCACATGTCCGCTTTCCACGATTTCTTTGTCAATGCAAGGAATTTACGGTCCCTAAAAAGTTTACGTCTATCCAGTGTTCAAGGGGTGGTTTTAGAACTACGTTGTTTTTGATTAAAATCTGTCCTTCTTAAATAACTTCTAGATACTGCAAAATTTTGCCAGCAGAATAATCAGTGCATCAAAGAAGATATTTAACTCCAGTTTTAAGCACTGAGTATATTTTAGGGCTCAACGATATTTTTGAAAAGCCTGATTCTGTTGCTGAAAAAATGTAATTAAAATCGATAAAATGAGACACGTTTTCTAAAACAAACTAGTTTAAATACTGCTTCTTTTCTCAAAAACGGTTAATCTAGCTATGTCAAACAAGAGTGCCTACATTTTTTCAGCAAAAGGATGAGACTTTAAATAAATATCAACGCTGCAATATTGCATATTGCTTTAGAGCTAGATTGTTTCTGATGATCTAAAAGAGTTTATTGTTCTCTGGAGATGTATAATTTACGAACCTAATATGTGATGCACTAGCATGTTCGTTAAGGCATGCGATTCAGGAGTTATTCAAGAAGAACCACTTTTTGTGACGTCCTTTAAGGATCTCAGAAAACCATCAGAAGACAGAATAGCCCAGGAATTCTCCTTCGAATGTTTACCCAATGCTTAGGAAGTACAGATAATCTGACAGTGGTACTGACAAAATAAGATTTTGGGAAAGTGTACTTTCTAGAGTTTGGTAGATAAGGCTAGCAAAATTTTTAAACAAGGTATTTTGATGTTATTGCACATCAACTTTACATACTTCATGATCTTGTTAACCGAGGATATATGCCAACATGACATTTACAAAGTCGGGTTTCAACTCTCGCCCATTAGCCTATAATAACAATAATATTGTTAGGTAAATGTAAATATGTATATACCTGTAAATTGGGTAGATTGGAGAAGAGGGAGAGACTTCTGATGTGTTTGGTTGTTTCTTGTCGACTGGGCTGACAGGGGTTACACCTGAAAAAAAATATGTTTAGTGTTAGCTAAGACCTATATAAATGCGTATTAAAAATGCGCAATCTAAAAATGGAGTCAGATAGATTGACTTCTTAGTTCCCAAAAATATTCATAAATAAAAATTCCACATACATAAACATTCTCATTGTCATTAGCGAAATGTTTAATAAGAGAAATGTCTGATTTAATAACTGGTGATACCCCAATCAAAATGTTAGACTATGCACTAAAATCACCAATGAGATAATGATAATCGAAGTTCTTGGATTTTAGATTTTAGAAGCAATATTGTGTAAGAATTTCATTAAAACCCGAGCGCTACTTTCTGGACAGACCGCAGACAGACAGACTGACGGAAATATGTCTGGAGTATATACTCTGAGTATGCGCCTTCGTTTCGCCTCAAAATGTAAGACCTTATTCTATACTTAAACTCTAGGGGACTTGGATGGTCATTAAGACCACCTTTTGCACTAATTACTCCGAAAGAATTTCTATTGCATCTTGATTAAGACGTCTTGTTAACAGGTGTTGGATGCTGAATCTGAATTTTCCGTAGGAATGGCATAATCTTTTAGAGCACGATATCTTTTACGGGTGTAACCCAAAGGGGTGTGTTTCAAATTGACCTTATGGGAACTTTCACAAAAGTGCTTCGAGCAAACTCTACCGCTTTTTACATTGACCTTGTCTTTTCTTTTTGTAAGATGTAGCCATTTTTTGCTAAGGTTTAGGTCTTGAGGAAGACTGTGGAACTTCGTGTCTTTGCAAGGATTCCGTTCAGATTGGTTGTCGGAATTACATCCCACAAGCACAAGCACACCGCATTTTTATCAATTTATCAACCACACAAGGTATATAAAGTATGTATAACTGATCCAACAAGTCATAAAACCACCAAAATCACCTAAAAATCACACTACATAGTATTAACCTCGATACAAGTACACTGCAGTAACTTTACGACAATCCTGCCGCTGGTAATCACGATCCGACAACTCTCAAGGTGACGTCACGAAGCTCCGCCTACATACGCAACATCCTATATTCAGTGTATGTGTATCGTGCGTATCACACCATACCAGAGTAACATAACTGACCAAGACCGGCAGCGTGCCGCCGGTAGCAGCAGATGGTAGGTACGCTATTCGTTTGCTGAGAATATTTTTCTTACTTTTAAGGGCTTAATGTACGGATAAATTTATAATATGCGAAATATGTCTAATTGGTGCATAGAATTTTGAAGGTAGGGAGCGTATAAATATACTAACATAAAAAACTGATAGAAACTGTACTCACCCTCCCCCCTTTTCAACCCCCACCACCAAGTTTTTTTCTCTAAATTTTTTTTCAAAAATGATCTGTGCCGCCACTTGCCCGATATTCAAGAACTACATACAGCTTGCGTCATTGGCACAGTAGTAACGCTGTGTAAAAATTCCATCAAAATCCCAGCTGTACTCCTCAAATTATAGGCGGTTATAAGATTAGCGGACAGTCCTGAGTGATATGATTTTTGGCATTGTAATGGGTGATTTTTTTGCTAGTATCTTTTTGGCAACACTGTTTTTGGCAGATGACGCGTGAATCGTGCCTTGTGTCATTGTCAAACTTGTTCAGTTTGGTCTATAATTTAACCATGAATCGACTTACGAACGAACAACGCTTGCAAATTATTGAATTTTACTATCAAAATTCATGCTCGGTTAAGAGAGTGCATCGAGCACTGCTTCCAATTTATGGGCAATTTGGTCGGCCTACTGAGGGAGCTATTCGGAAGCTTGTGACTAAATTTCGAACCTAGTTTACATTATTGGACATTAAACCACCAACACGCAGACGTAGAGTGAGGACTGAAGAAAATATTGCAGCTGTATCCGCCAGTGTTAGTGATGACCGTGAAATGTCGATTCGCCGCCGTTCGCAGCAATTGGGCCTCTGTTACGTGGAAAATTTTGCGACAGGATTTGGTTATAAAACCTTATAAGATACAGCTGGTGCAAGAATTGAAGCCACACAACCTCCCACAACGTTTCCAATTTGGTGAATGGGCGCTGGCAAAGTTGGAGGAAGATACACATTTTTATCGAAAAATTGTGTTCAGCGACGAAGCTCATTTCTGGTTGAATAGGTACGTTAACAAGCAAAATTGCCGCATCTGGAGTGAAGACCAGCCAGAAGCATTGCAAGAGCTACCAATGCATCCCGAAAAAATCACTGTTTGGTGTGGATTATCGGGCCGCCTAGATCGTGTGATTTAACGCCGTTAGACTATTTCTTGTGGGGCCATGTTAAGGCTAATGTCTACAGGGATAAACCAGCAACGATTGACGTACTGGAAGCGAATATTGAAGCATTTATTCGTGAGATACCGGCCGATATGTTGGAGAGAGTGTGCCAAAATTGGACCTTGCGCATGGGCCATCTAAAGCGGAGCCGCGGCCAACATTTACATGAAATAATTTTTAAACATTAAATTATATCGACCGTTCTATCGACTCAAATAAAGATTTAATCGTTTTTTCAAATTTTTTGTGTTTTTTGTAAAAACAAATCCTATACCTCTTAAAAAATCACCCGTTACATATCATAAAACGTCCAAAAAAACATAATATCTCATCAATTTTCCGTCAGTAGGGGTGGGTCGTAAGTTTTCTTGGAAGGAAAATCTGAAAAATGTAGCACCTTCCTCAAGAAATGTTAACGATTGGAAGAAACGAAATTCCAACTTACTCATTTCGAAGAGCATTTCATAGACGACGGGGTCCAAGTCTCCGGTTTTGACGAACTTGTACACTTTGCTCAACAGCTTCTCGTACTCCTTATCGGTAACAGCACCCTGGAATTCCTTCAGGAGCTCGTCCAGAAGTTCGGATTGGGAAAGGGGCTTGGTGGGCAGTTTGCTGGCTCTCTTCTCGACCTCATGGACGGCGGTGGACCCTTTGCCAGCACTGTACACCTGAATAGAGGACGAGATATTTGATATTGAGACGGATGTTTATTAGAGATTCCATAGTGGCACCTTGTAGCAATCCATTGCAAACCGGCAAAGGCATAAGTAGTCTTTTTATCCGAACTCTATGTAGCAAGATTAACTTTGTGCTTTTACATGGTACAGCTGTGTGTATAGAGGGTACAATAGATTACAGCCTCTCGTACAGACATAGAACTCAAAGAATAGCGCTACAAAAATTATACTAATGAGCTCTATATGGAGATAAAGGCACTATAAGAATATCGGCATTCCTTTAATAACTGTTCACCAACACAGTATTCAATAAACTTTTGACAATACAGTATCATGCCATCAGGGCCTCACATGTCCATAAATTGTCAGGGACGGACTGGCCATAACGCAATATTTTTTAACCTCGTAATAATGACAAGAAAATATTCTTCCGAAGACCATAATTTTTTAGATAGAATTAACATATTTCATTTCGATATTTGAGAAAAACAGTGGTGTTTCAGTATTGTGACTATCAGTTTATACGCCTAAAAAGTTCGAGGCAAATGCAAACATTGATTAAGGTGTCTGATATGGAATATCTCTTCTATTCGGTAGTTACAGATTTGTTGTTGATTTGATTTCTAGGATTTGTCCCTCCTGGGAAAGTTTGCAACCCTCGCTCTTCAAAAAGTATCAGTACTCCTTTTTCTAAATTGTCGAACAAGTGTACTGACAAAAACTGTGCTGAGAGATCAGTGATCTGTTTTAAAAATAACATAACTAACGTTGTAAGACTTTTTTGTTTGTTTAAAGATATGGCTTTCTAAGGATATCATCGTTACCATTAAGTACTATGTTGTGAAAAAAAATTGCAATATTGCTGTCAAATTGTTTTTCTGAGAATGCCGTCATATCCAGTAGTGGGATGGAAAGACGACTCTATTTTTAACTCTACCTTGCCATAGGAAAGTTAGCTCTGAACACGTGTTGCCTATATCTCCTTAGGGGATTCCCGCATGATCATTTATAAAAAAAACTTGTAGCGTTGCTGTTTTTGACTCGAGAGGTTGTCATCTTATTTTTGGTAATGTAAGGCAGGAATGGAAAAGGTGATATGTTTGGCTAGTTTTAAGACTATTTTGTCGTTTTTGCTAAACTACTCCACTTCTGATATACAGAGCTAGCAAAATATTAATGAAACCCTTTTTTTTCATCGATATCTAATAACTACTTTAACCTTGAGGAATTTAAAATCATACTTCGTGCTAGAATGCAAGGCTACAATTTTCTCGTCACAGACTACCAAACTTTATCAGATACGCCAGGATAATTTCTTATTGAGTTACATCCGAAAACATTAGTAGGTCCTGACTTGTGGCCTGCTGGCTCTTAGGACTCAGGGTGTATCGTCAGTCGTTCCTACAACTGTAGGACGCCTTTATAGCCTGCTTGATTTTTATAGTTTTCTACTGTCCCATATCAGCGCTCTATTCTGAGGTTATGTTACAAATAGCTATTTTCATTAGATTGTTCGTGCTTTTAATTTATACAGGGTGTCCGCAAAGTTGGGGAAAAAGTACTCACTCTCCAGTTGACGAGAAGGGCTAAGTACGTCTCTGCCCGAAATCATACCGCACCAACAGAAAATGAAATCAGCTGATGCGCTACCGAGCAGACGCCGGCGGTGGTGCAGACCACGAACAGAGGTAACAAATAAGACGGCGTTGCCGCGTTTTCAGTTTTTAGGTAAACGTACTTTATAGGTATTGTTCGAAGTTATCGCCGTTTGATTCAAAAACACAGGTGCGTGCACGACGTAGCCAAGCATCGGTGCAGGCTTTGAGAATGGAGTCCCTCCCCCGAATGAAAGCACCAGCTTGTTCAATTCTGAGACGAAGTTCGTCAACCGTATGCACTTCAGTTTTGTACACTAAGCGTTTCATTTCTCCCCAAAGAAAAAAATCACATGGTGTTAAGTCCGGAGATCGCGGAGGCCACGCTACGGGTCCATTACGTCCGATCCACCTATTCGGAAATAATTCATCCAAAAACTCACGCACTCCGCGTCTAAAGTGGGGCGGTGCACCATCGTGCAGAAACCACATTGATTGTCTTACACTTAATGGCACATCTTCTAACAAGGAAGGCAAAATGTTGCGTAAAAAGTCTAGGTATTGCATCCCGTCCAATCGATTTGGGAGAATAATTGGTCCAATGAGCATACCGTTCACCATGCCAGCCCAAACATTCACCGAAAATGTTTGTTGAAAATGTGCCCGACGGACAGCATGCGGATTTTCTACTGACCAAACATGAGTGTTGCGAAAGTTATTCACCCCATTATGCGTGAACGTAGAACTCACAAAACCGCACTCTTGCTGGAAAATCGTCAGGTTGAAGGGCTTGTACACGTTGGACGTGAAACGGATACAGCCCCTCTTCACGCAGCGTTTGCCACACTTTAGTTTTTGATACTTGCACTTCTCTAGCCACGTCTCTAGTGCTTGTTGAGGGATTCTCGTCTACGCGATCCAGTAGTTCTTCCTCACCTTGCACCATTCGTGGTTGTCTGGGCCTCCCACTGTGCCCACCTCGAAATTCCTCCAAATGGCCCGTATCCCTGACTCTCTGGACCAGGTACACAAATCTGCGGGGCCTTGGATGATGTCGTCTAGGGAAACGATCTGCATACACTCGCGAAGCCTCTGTACCATTTTGAAGACATTCGCCATAAATTAACAACATATCAACGAGTTCATTATTGGTTATGAGTGTGCCATTATTATTTTTTTGAAACGCAATCGATTATACGGGTTCGTTTACCTCTACACGCGTGACCGTAACCGTCGGTTGAAGGTTGCATACTGACCTGACACACTGACCCCGACCCAGTTCTGTCGTCGGGTTGAGCTAGTGTCCTAGTACCACTCGGGGATGTCGCGGGTCGCGGCTACAGGACGGTATTCAGATATTTTTGATGTTGCAGAGCCCTTTATCTCGGCTCCCTTAAAACATTGGTGTATATGGTACTAAGAAAAATTGCTTATGTTTTCAAGATCTACACGTCGTGTAAAGGAAAACCCCAACTTTGCGGACACCCTGTATAATATATGTTATGTCAGCCTGAAATTTCCTACAATTCAAGAAGGAAACATAGCCTCGCAATAGGAGGGCGCTGATGCTGACACGGAACAGTAGAAATATAGAAATACCAGCCTGTCTGAAGGAGGGAAAAGACTATCAAAATCAAGGCGTCCTACAATTGAGTCGGTTAGTCCAGTACACGTCCAACAAGACAGTTCTGAGGAAACACGAAAAAACATCATAACTGCACAATGTGTAGAGTTACTATCATACAAATATTGTAGTGATTCTTTGTATGAATGATAATTTAAAATAAAAAATAGAAAAACACACCTCTCGAAATTGTAGAAGGATGACGTTCATGGACTTGTACTGCTCTTGATCTCAGTCTTTTTTCGAGAGTTTTTTTGTACTTTTTCCAGGTTTTGCGTATAATAAAGTTGTGGGAACTCTTATAGAGGTTGCTAGACGTATGAAAAATGTTATTGAGCGAATCCATACAAAAATATTCTCTCAATTGATTCAATTATTGTAGGAACGAATAACGATACGTCCCTTAAACTTTAAGGTTCTCTTGCTTTTCCCTAAGTGGCCATTCAGAGGTATTGGTCTGAAAATCTGATAGTTGCTGAAAAGTAACTCAATGAGAAACGACCTTGGTGCATTCGAGAGAGTTTGTGGAATTATAAGAAACATATGGAGTGCTGCATTTTACCTAGAAGTAGTCATTTAGAACTTAGTAGAAATTAAGGAGCTTCGCATGACACATTCCAAAAGTTTTGTTCGCACTGTATCATTGAAATGGAACAGTCTTTAAGTCTTAAGAAATTGTCTCGAAACAGTATAAAAAGTGCTATCGCTTAAAATATTTTTCTTGATCTAGTATGTTGAGATTTTGCTAAGGCGGAGTACTTGGGGTTGAAAAAATTGAATTTCGATCTGACAATTCTTCTTTGATACCAAACTAAATCGTGTAATCTCCCGCATAGGACCTCAAAAGTTAATCCGCTGAGGGGACAACTCAAAGGTCTTAAGAATAATTTTATGAAAACACAAGTTATTCGTAAGATCTGTATCTGATTATTTTTTTACTGCCCTGGTAGATTATATGGTTTTTTTCATATCGAAACAGAATAGTCAGTTCGAAGTTTAATTTTTTGTATAGCCTCAATCTAAAGGAGTCGAAGGTGATAATTTATACAGAGTGTCACAAAAGTTGGGAACGGTTTAGGTTGGAAACCACGGTGGATCCGTTAATGATATTCGCGATGTTGCCAAATCTACAGTTTTTCAGAAACTGTTAGCAACTTTTGTTCTTCTCATAGAATTTTATTCCATATTAGTGTTCTGCGAGGAATTTTTAACACTTTTTATCAAACATACTTTGACGTAGACGTTGGTTTTGGTTAAATAAATCATATTTTTATCAACTCTACTAACAAAACTCAATGGACCATTGCTTAGGTAAAAAAAATATATTTTATTGTTGTTCCGAAACTTATGTTGTCTACCTCAAACTATGTTCAATAAAAAGTATCCATAATTTCTCGCAAAATACAAATATCGAATAAGATATATAGCATTCCATAAAAAACTTCCAAACTGTATGTTGTAGCTTCAGCTTGCGATGATTAGGTTACCAGCCAACCTGCATGATACAAAAAATTACAGGTACCGCTTTGAAGCAAGGTTTCATTGGATACCTTGAGCAAATTACTAAAGCAATGAGCTTGAAAAATATTATCAAAGAAATAGTTTGAAATCAAGGTACCTGCAACTTTTCTTTATCTTGATATCCACCAGCGACGTTGGGCATAGTGAAGAAGCTAGCAAAGAGGATATCCTCACAAAAGCAAAGTATCGTTGAAATATGTTTGTAAGCTAAAGCCCAAAGCTATAAAACAACCCAACAGCAATATTCGAACCTGTCTGCCATAGTTATCAACATGTATGTACTTCAAGGGCCAAAACGGACTATCCACCATTACGTCTACTCTTCCCTCGCCTGAAGACCTCAATATCTTGTGAACGACCAGTGTCTTCAATTACAAGCATGTAAGTTTTATATGATTTATGCTGCTCAGAAAAATTCATACCAAACTCTATTTACACTTGAAAAAACAAAAAAAGTTCACGTTTTAACCGTGTTCGTTCTTGCTTTGGCTCCAATAATTCAAATGTCTAAAAATACGTTAGACATCAAATAGATTTTGAATTTGAGTCAATTTTAGGTGAAACAGTAAGGCCGCCACAATAACTAACAAAATCAGAAGAAAAACGGAAAACATGGTATTTTCGAAGTCTGTTGAGGTTTCCTGGAATTTTGCAAATTGTTTGTCCAACAAAATGGCAAATTTTCAACAAATTTAACTGACGTGATCCTTTATAAAGGGTGTCCCAATATTCCGTGGACATCGAAGTACGATGTATTTTCAGACTCAAAGTAAGTCGATTGGACTATGCAAAAATGCTTCGCTTGTATGTTAGAGGGCGTCAATGTTTTCATTTCTTCAGATATTTCAGGAACGGATAGTGCGATTTGAATGTAATTTGGAACCCAAGTGTTTGCTAGACATCCTAATATTTGACTTTCACAAAAAAACCTAAACGGGTTCAAGAAGGGTGAAAACTATACCCCTAAATAGATTCTACCAGAATTTTTCCTCTCTCCAATGCCTTTATTTAAAATATTATTTTATTCTATTAATTTTTGTCTCTTAAAAGCAGGCCATCTCGCATAGTTTTCGGAAAATAAAAGGTTTACGGAGCTGGTTTCTAAACCAATCTTTTTTCTGTGATGGGAAAAAAGCTTGAGATTTTATCTCTGTTGACAGGTAACAAAATGTCACTTTTTATGAACTAACTTTTTTCCCAGATATTGTATAAACGATTTAGCTGGCAGTAATTTTGGTGACGTTACTCTGGCTACTTCTACTAATTTCGGTGGAGTCAAAGAAAACACGGAATCAGACATTTCTTACTTTATAGTATTAAAAATAACTTCTAAACAATCACTAAGCTCACAATTTTCAAATCAAGTCACTAAATTAAATTGACAGCTATTTGATTACTTTAAAAGATTCCTTAGCCATGCAGGTCTAATTGTTGCTATAAGTACAACAGCTAATTTCAAAATTCAAGTTTCACATCAATAATTTTCTGACTTAAATATTGTTATAATATAATTATTCAATATTAAATCGTCGTTTATTTCCGTCACAGAAAAAAATGTGTATTATACATGGGAAAAATACTAGATTTTAGCTTTCGGTTTTTTGTCTCAAGATAAAATCTAGTACCTTTTCTCCTTGTATAATGAATAACTATTATTACATCAAGTGTTAAAATCTAGTAGGCATCTAGGTGCCTGATATGTGGGATGTTATATCTGTGTCAGATTATTTTTCATAAAGCTTAAATTAAAAAGCGATGTTTGAGTTTATTTTTGTTGTCAATTTGTTCTTTGTTCTTCATAAATTTTGAATTAATTAAAGTTTTTATATTATTTTCGGAGTCGTCGGAACAGTATCGAAAAAATTTGCTATAAGTTAAGCAGGTTTGTGGGTAGTTTTCGCCCTTCTCGAACTCTCACGTTTTTTTTTTGTAAAAGTCAAATATAAAGACATCTAGCAAAACATGTGTATCCCAAATTTCATTCAAATCGGACGATTAGTTCGAAAAATACCTGAAAAAATGTGTATGCCTAACGGACAGACGAAGCACTTTTGCATAGAGGTAAATCATGTAAATTATGTCTAATCGACTTATTTTGAGTCTAAAATTAAGTGGTGCCTCTATGTCCACGGAATATTCAGACACCCTGTAGATTATACGTGGGTCACCATCCTGTATCGTGTGATTACCGAAAAATCAGACTAACGTGATTTTTTTTGACAAAACTGCTGCGTCGGCATATCATAACATATCAGCTCAGAACAATTAAAGTTGGTAGCCGTACATGTAAGCTTTTAATGTCACCCTTGTCCAAGCAATAAAAAATGAGCAAAAGCCTCCAAGTATATCGTGCTTTGTCATTCAAAACATACTATTCAAACCTTGTTGTGATCAACGTGATGATCATGGTGATGATCATACTCATGACCATGATGGACGTGATCATAGTGAGTATGATCATGAAGGTGGTTCTTGTCAACGTGAATGGCTTTAGGAAAGTAGGGATTGTCGATGATGATATCTAGACCTTTTCTTCCTACTGAGATGTCCTTATGCACCCCCATTGTCTTTGGAAACAAATATATTCCATTACCGACTGAGTTTATGTAGTACATCGTTCTGATTTCATCACATTGTTGTCGAAAAAGTACCTTCAGCTTTCATCTAAACAACACCGTTTTTGAGCCCAGGGAAGCCAAATTCACTTTTAAGATTGTTTATAAAACAAACCGAAACTATTTTAGACTAGTGTACGAATTCAAAAACAATGATATTGTTCCTAGGGCAGAAGTACTTCAAAAGATAACATTGCTATAAATACATGATTTACCTCAAAGGTTCAACCTAAAATTTCTTGAGATAGGAGAAAAAAGCAGTGGAGTAGAAGATATTTATTTTGTTTCTCCTACGGAGGACATTGTAACCTAGTTTCTACACCACTAGTGCAACTTTATTTGATTTTGGAATTATAACTTGAATACCATGTATCCTGGTAATTGGGCATTTGAAGAACTCATGTATACAGGGTGGCATATCGAAAACAAAACAGACGCATTTACTGGCAGCTCAGTTTTTTTTTGGAAAAACGCTCGGACCCGTCGATTTTTTTTTCGAGGGGGACACAAGTTTGGCAAAAAATCACGTTAACACGTGCAACCCCCTGGGCGGGGGTGACACCAACCCTGAAATCTTAAATGGAGAGGGGGGTCGAGTGATACCTTATTTTAAAGGTCTTTCAATTCCCTTTATAATGAGGTAAAATACAGGAGCATAAGTTCAGTAGTTTTGAAGATTTATTGATTTAAAGCTTAAAGTAGACTTTAATAGGTACATCAGATTAGTTTGTACTACTTTCAGAATAAATTTGACTAAAAGAATTTACTTAATAAGTAAATGCTTTTCTTCACCACGCCCATGGTTTGTTTATCATTTTGTTGTTGAAAATAGCTATTGGAGCGTTTTTTTTTGTGGCAAAAAAGTTATTTCTTGAAGAAAGATAAGGAAAAATAGAAGTTTAGTGCATAGTTTGCGATTGATTTGACCAAACTTTGTTGCTAAAATAACTTTTAACGCTTTATTACATAAATTAATCATGGTATATTCCACAGCAGAAAGAGTTGAGATTATTGAAATATTTTTCGAAAACAATCAGTGCGCTAATAGAACAGCAAAAATATTTAATGAGCGACATGAGTACAGTAACGTGCATCGAAAATATGTTCTAGAACTTGTAGCTAAATTTCGGGAAACTGGGTCAGTCGCCAATAAAAAACGCAACATTGAAAATCCCATAAGGAACGAAGCAATAGAAGTGGGGTTTTAGGGCAAGTTTATGTAGATCCTACGTTAAGTACCCGCAAATTGGAGACTGTGTGTGGTGTTAGTCGACGTACTGTCCAACGGATTCTAAAGGCCCATAGTTTTCATCCGTATAAAATTCACCTGGTACAAGAACTTAATCAAGACGATTTTGATCGGCGATTACAATTTTGTGAAGATATGAGTGAATGAATTATAAACGATGAACATTTTCTATTCAACACTTGCTTTTCCGACGAATGTTCCTTTTTCTTAAATGGCGTAGTAAATCGTCATAACTGCCGATATTGGTCCGATTCTAATCCTAGAATTTATCATGAGGTTCATACACAGCAGCCACAAAAATTAAATGTTTGGGCTCATATTTTTGGCGATCATTTAGTTGGTCCCTTTTTCTTACCTGGAAATTTGACCGGTGAAATGTATTTGGAATTACTTGAAGACGCCTTAGATCCTGCATTAACAGCCATAATTGAAAATCAGAATGATCGGCGGTACATTGCGAATAGGTTGATGTTCCAACAGGATGGTGCCCCACCATATTACGCATTACGTGTTCGACAATATTTAGATCAGACGTTTCCAGATCGATGGATTAGTAGAAGAGGTGCCATTGAATGGCCCCCAAGATCTCCAGATTTATCCCTTGTGGATTTCTTTATTTGGGGTCATTTAAAAAGCAAAATCTATGCTACTCAGCCAACATCATTAGAAGACCTGCTACAAAGAATTGTGAATGAGTGCCTTCAAATTACTCCTCAAATATTGCAAAATGTGCGGCAACGTTTTGAGCAAAATCTTTATTATTGCATGGAGAGTCATGGTGGCCATTTTCAACATTTACTTGCCTAACGGGTCATTTTTAAATTACTTAGCTGCCAAATGTATTGATCTCCACTAATGATAATGTATTAGTTTTATTTAAGCTTTAATTCAAGAAATCTTCAAAACTACTGAACTGAAGTACATTAATTTTATATCATTATAAAGGGAATTGAAAGACCTTTGAAATAAGGTATCACTCGACCCCCCTTTCCTTTTAAGATTTTGGGGGTGGTGTCACCCCCGCTTAGGGGGCTGCACGTGCTAACGTGATTTTTTGCCAAACTTGTGTTCCCCTCGAAAACAAAATCGACGGGTCTGACCGTTTTTCAAAAAAAAAAAACTGAGCTGTCAGTAAATGCGTCTGTTTCGTTCTCGATGCGCCACCCTGTATAAGGACTTAGTGTTATCTGTCAACGTACTAGCTGACCCAAGAATATTGCAATTCTTTTTAATCTTCATACTAAAGAATCTGACCTTCAGATTCCTATTTTTTGATTATTTTCTTTTTGATTTTGTTTTTATGTACATGGTTATACAGGTTTGTCAGCCAGAAGTTTAAAAGCTAGTATAATTGATCAAAATGAGTGAAATCCACTGGAACTTGTACTTATGCACGAAGATGTTAACAAAGTGATTTGTCGAAACTGAAGCTTTATATAAACATCGATATGAAAATATTTCATTTTCAAGGTATCAAACTTTTTTTGGAACAACGCTTTTTCGTAAGGATCTCATTAATTCTTCAGACAGATTATAAACCAAAATAACTGTATACATTGAAAAGAAAAGGATCAATGTCTATAAGTAGGTCTTTTGGGCCGCGAAAATAATTCAAATTATAAGTTAATGCGATCTATAACATTTTGCATTTAAGAATTTGTTTGTTTCAAGCATTCCTCATCATTTTTTTTTATTTCAATATTTGATAATTTGAAGTCCAGAGTTGGTAATTTTGGCATTTTTCGTCAAAATTCACACATTTTATTATTATTTGTATATCAGCTCACAATCGTGTCACTTTTCACTTTAAATCTGTAATCAAACACACTATGACACAGAACATGTATAAAAATGGAAGTGTTGCTCCTCTGTTCTCACTATAAAAAAAAACAAAAGTTGACACAACTATAATGAGACATGCTTGTAGTGTGACCGCACATGTGTTGTGCCTAATGTGTTTTAATATAATAGGTTTGAAATAGAAAGTGTCGCGACCGTTTATTCAAAAGTTCAATAGTTAAGGATTCGAAAATAGTTGACTTTTGGACAAAAATACCAAAATTGTGAACATCGGGCTTTTAAAGTACAATCAAGTACTAAAATAGAAAGACAAATATTTATGGACGCTTAAGATGTAATGCTCTGAAATGAAATATTTAAGGGACCAATTTAACAGATGGGATCAACTTGAAATTACCAGGCGCAAAACCTATGGAATTTGACCATCGTTCAATTTTAAAGAAAATTCGTATAGTAACATTTCATGTGCTGATCAAATGTACCAAGTTCAGAAATGCTTTTTGTTGGAGGGTGTTAAAGTTTGGTGTAGGTGGGCTTGCTTGCATCATTTTACGAAAACTAATTCGTCTTTATTGTAAATAAAAATCACGTGAACACATACAAAATATCCAAGGTGTCCCAAGCGAAATTGGAAGATAGTTAATAAACACTAAAGAAGATAGTCGAAAACGATTTGCACAGCAAGATTGAAATCTTGTATGAATTTTATTTAAAATTGACCGCTGGTCAAATTCCATATGTTTTGTGCCTGGTACTATTTTCAAAGCTGAGAACTCCACGGATTGATCCTATTGAAAAATGGTTCAAACACCGTATAAAGTAATTACATTAATTGCCCTCGAGTTCCAAAGTGTTCGGGTTCTTATTTCTAATCGCGTTCCACTAAATAAATAAATAATGAACTGGTTTTTGAAGAATTCTCTAATGCGGAGCTAGCTGTCGCCCTAAATTTTACCATCCTCAACATGTCTAAAACCTAACTGCATACAACTTGTAAAACACACTTGCAGTACATTTTATCAGTATTATTTATTTTTCAGAAATGATCGCAAGACTTATTTTTTATGTGCTGAAACTTTTGCCCTCCAAACTTAAGAGGGTTAGACTGATATAACTAGTCCACCAAATATTTAGCAACTTAAGCACCCAAGCCCCAATGCTCACCTTGTGTGGGTCCTCGTCGATTTGCACAGACTTGGTAGGGAAGTTGGGACCTTCAACCTGGATCTGGAAGGTCCTTCCGCCGGCTGGGCCCAAGCTCTTGTAGATGGTGACCCTTTTTCCAGTTGGCTCCGTAATGACGATCTTGCCATCTTCGGTGAAGTCAATGCTCTTCATGGGGAAGGGCACCGCGTAGCAGAACGCCACAAGGCTCAGGAGGATCACGAATTTCATGTTGGGTACTGATTGGTAATGTGCACCCGGGTGCGTGATAGAGGTTTTTATACCCCGCTATCGCGTGTCAATGGAAAAATATGAGATTGGGTTGTTGTTTTCGATCCGTGGGCGTTATCTTTTTTTATGTTTGTTATGAAATCGGGAACGATTGAGAAGAAATCGAGGAGTTATATAGGCTAGGAGACAGACCGGGTCACTTTTAAAGATGCATTAACCAATTCTGTCCCAAGCACTGAAAAAATTAAAAAAAAACAACAGTTTTGTTTATAAATATTTATTTTAGTATACCTAAGAATATATTCCATGTGTAAAAAAATGTAATTCAAAAATAGATTATATCAAAGAATACTGGTGCGTAAACGAACCAATCGGAAGAAACATGAAGTTTTGAGGCACATAAGTCATAACTAATAATTCTAACGAAAATAAAACACAGATAGAGACAGTCTTACATAAAAATACCAAACGTAAATTACGAGGCTTGTTCAAAAATTATCGCAAATTTTAAATTTTCGCGGGCTACGTATGTTCTATTTTCGATCTTTTTGTGGCGTTATCTTGGTACTCATGACCCTCACTAATGCTGACAATATCAGTCATTTTGCATGTTCAGTCAGTTTCTGACAGCTACGTGTCTTTTAAGTTTTGCATATAGAAACATAGTAGGCCGCGCGGTTCGAACGTCAGTACTGAATCTTAACCCCACCCTTTAGTAAACTTAAATTCAAAGTTTCACAACAATACGTGCAGTGTTCTCACTACAGTGAATTTTTAAGTGTCACTAAGTCATTAGAAAAATGGAACTCAACCGAGAACATTTTCGCGCCATGATTTATTACAACTTTCACAGACAATTATCGCAACAAGAATGCCTTGCTGAGTTACTGGCTGTTTTCGGCAACGAAGCGTCACATCAGTCGACAATTTCCTGTTAGTATGGAGAATTCAAACGTGGACGGGTGAGTTTTAGCGACGATCCCAGGGTGGGTGCACCAAAAACGGCAGTCACCCTGTGCGCAAACTCATCATTGAAGATAGACATGTGACATATCGCGAGATTGAAGCGTCCTCAATTCAAAAAATTTTACATGAAGAATTAGGAGTAAGAAAATTAGTTCCGCGTTGGATACCTCACCTGTTGACTTAGTGGTGATGAATCGTGGATTTACTGTTATGAACCAGAAAATAAACGACAGTCGGCTGTTTGGGTATTCCAAGGTGATGAAAAGCCAACAAAAGTCATCCGTTCTCGAAGTGTTTCGAAAAAGATGGTCGCAACATTTGTGTCAAAATCGGGTCATATTGCTACAACTCCTCTTAATGAGTAAAGAACCGTTACTGCGGATTGGTATACCACCATTTGTTTGCCAGAAGTCATCACCGAGCTTCGAAAAATCAACCCCGAAAGAAGAATCATCCTCCACCAAGACAATGCAAGCTCGCACACAGCCCTAAAAACAAGGCGGTATTTAACGGAAGAAAACGTGGAATTATTGGACCATCCTCCATATAGTTCCGATCTAAGTCCTAAGGATTTCTTTGCTTTCCTGAAAATTAAAAACATACTGCGTGGTCAAAGGTTCCAGTCACCAGAAGAAGCAGTTGACGCATTCAAAAATGCCGTTATAGATCTGCCAGCAAACGAGTGGAAGTGCTTCAAAAATTGTTTTGAGCGTATCAGATGTGTATTAATCTTCGTGGAGAATACTTCGAAAAACAATAGAGTCATTTAAAACTACTTATTACAAATGTAAATTGTGTGGCAGATTCTACACCTCCTTCGATCTTAATTAGCATGAACAATCATGAGGTCACCTTTATTATTATAACGTAGTTCATCCATCAGGGGCAAGATTTCTTTGAATTATTGTTTTATCAGTCAGGCAAAGTAGATTCCGGTATATGCAAGTTCCAACTATATCAGTTGGTTCCTCAAAATCTTGCTTTCATCGTTCATATCCTCCTCGTCGGTCAAAGTAGTATCCACTTCAGGTGGAATATGAACTGCACAAATATGTTCTGTAAATAAATTATTATTTTACTCTTAACGTAAAGTTGCGGTAAACGAAATACATTATTGAATCTACAAACTATAAAAATACGTAAATGGGCATAATATTTACTTACAACTTTCATTATTTTGTGCCAACTCCGCCACATCCTCCGCCGAAGCCGCTTTTGCTTTTGATATAGAAACTTCAAAAACGGCATATTTTTCTGATAAAAATCGAATTTTACGTAAACCGCACAAGAGATACACGCATACTAAATTGTAGCCACCACCGGTATCGGCGGCTGCTGACGCGACGTGCTCTTGTCGAGACTTGCAATTTGCAATAATAAGAAAGAAAAAATACTTTACCTACTACTTTAGAGATTTTACACAAAATTATGCAGCGTATTTCTTGATTTTTGAAGAGTCATATTTTTTTTAAATAAACGTACACAGTTTATACGGTAAGTTTTGCAATACTGATAGTATTGAATCATTAAATGTGCATATTCAAAAATATTTAGTGGATTTACGAAAATAAAATCATTAAATAGGACGTGCGTTAACACACCACTGGGACAAAATGGGTTAAGGAGACTAGATGGAGAATACAAAATAAATATGGCCCACCAAGACCGTGGATTCGGCACTGTCGGGGTGTCAAATCAAACCAATCCGCACAGATAAGTTATACACCGTGAGAACTTTAGAAGCCAATCTTTATCGCCCCAAAAGCTCCATATTGATAACACTCTCGCTCTCTCTCTCTATGGTTATATCTCTTTTAATATATTTCTTTGTTTTAATCTACTCTGAAGTCTCATCTCCTTCATTTTTGAAAAAAAGTTGTTACAAGGCTTGTGCAGTTTCATCGGGCAGCAAAATTCTCAATTAATGTACTTTTTTCAACAAATAATTAAGAAGGAACCTAAAAATAAACATGATAAGAATTAAATTAAATTAAAATGAAAATTATTTTGTGTTTCTTTAGGAGTATATTTAATCTTAATTCGTTTTGTTTTTCACTGTGCATTCTTGCTGCACATTTCGGGATACTCTGCATTTTTGGGTAATTCTAGAAAATATTTGTGGTATCGAGTCGCAATAACATTACGGATTGGTGCTAGAATTTGCTTGAATGTCGATACTAACGCTTCATTTGTTACGCTGTTAATAGGTTGTTTTGGACCCAAAAACATGGGCCTATGCCCCTCTCTGGCTTACCTTTGAGAAGTAAGATATATCTTATAGGGTTCCTATTTTTTTTAATTGGAGAGATGTGCGAACCCTTAAAGGAAGAGACATGTACATTTTTAAAAAATACAAATATTCTGCAGTAACGGAAAAGAATGAAGAATCAGTTATACTATCAAGAAGGATCTAACAACATATCAAATATTAAAATCCATCAAGGTGTTTGGGCTCGTGAAATAGAAGTCTCAAAGTTGAACTTTGTGTCTAAAGTCTGCCAATTATTTTTTATAAAATTTCAGTATCCCCAGTATTTTCAGACTGTCAATACAAAGCTAGAGACACCTCATACGTCCACCAACCCTCTTAAGCTGGAGCTCGTGGAATAGGAATTTCAAAGTTAAAATTTTTGATAAAAATCCTCCAAAAAGTTTAGTATCCCCAATATCACTGGCACTGTCCAAACAAATTTGGCGACACTTCGTATGTCAAAATCCATCAAGCTGTTCAAGCTGCAGCCCGTGAAATAAAAAATCAAGTTTGATTTTTATTATTAATTTGAAGAGCACTCAGTTTTCAACCGTTGCCCCCCTTCACTGAGACGGGATAAATTTCGCCGCTGAACATCAATTCTGGAACCACCAATTTGCCCTACTTTGAATTTTCCTATATGTCTTCCTATGACCAAAAATGCTGTTAAATTATTGTAGTGCTATGACCCCATTGATACAAATAAATGAATAGCGTTTATTACCCTTCAGTCAAGGAAGCCATTTGAAGCCATTTACAGGACAACCTTAATCAAAGATAAATCAATCTAACAAAAAAAGAAATATTTCACAAAGTGAGAAACATGTCAGAAATTGTTTAAGTAATTCCCACTTCAGTTGGCCCAACTATTGAAATCTTAGTTTTTTTCTTATCAAACACAAATAATAAAAATGTAGCAGGGTGTTATAGGTTTAAAATATTAACAATGAATATTTTGATAATATATAGCAGAAAACACCAACTTTATCACTCCCTAATCAAATTTGCCGCATAAAAATAACACATGTTGCAATTACAGCATATCGACCTATTTTCATTACAATGCAAAATAAGCCTGTAACGCAGAGGTGGCTGTGAAAAATAAAAGCCATGACAATTGTTTTTATTAATCACTGCTGTCAGAATACGTTAAGGTTTTCAAAATGGGTAGAGGAAAGGTTATTAGTGAGAAAATTCGGTTACTGATAATTACATTTTTTAATTCTGGGAAATAAAACTCAGAAATTGCAACTTTGTTAGACTTATGTGTACAGTGTGAGAAATATTGTTAGAAGATATAACGTAACTGGTTCAGTTAATATCAAGCCACGATATGTGAAAAAAGTAATATCACAAATGCCGACCGAAGAGCATTAAGAAGAATAATCGTGAAAAACAGGCGTGCCAATTATTTACCAATTAAGTGCTCTGTGGAGTGACGCTGTTGGAAGGAGAATTTCGAGGTCCACAACTCATAGAGAGGCCCACAAACTGGGATTTAGCACTTGCAAGGTAAATTTTCTTATAAAAAAGTGAAGTAAAAACCCTATAGTTGCACAACAACAAAATCGGCTTAGATGGGCTAAAGAATGAACACCTCAACAATGGTGTGCAATACAGTGGAGTGATGAGGCCCGATTCGAAGTTTGTGTTGGTGACAGTCGCAGTAGAGTTATTCGATAAAAAAATGAAGTATTCCATGTTGACTGTTTGAAGAGAAAAGTGAAATTTCCAGCATCCCTTATGGTCTGGGGCAGTATGTCATCAAAAGGAGTAAGAAAGCTTCATTTTATTGATGGAAATGTGGATACAAACAAATATTTGGCAATTTTAGAAGAATCGCGTTTACTAGTGATGGAAGAATGTTTGACATCCGGCCAAGATTTTGTGTTTCAGCAAGATGGTGCAGCGTGCCATACCTCAAAAAAGGCTATAAAATGGATGGAGGAAAATAATGTACCACT